TAGTTTTTTCATATTAGCATATATATGTCATTAGAACATATACGGTTTCAGATTTAGGGAACAAGGTTTGAAATGCAGTATAATGMTTTTATGGATTATGAATGTTTGAGTTATGGTGTAGGAGTATACACTTGAAGYTATATATTATTTCCATTTCTCAATTCATAAAAGAAAATACAACAAATTATTGTTTCATAATTCATATTATTAACAACATAATATAGATTTGTTCATTGTTTATGGTTTCACACTTGGAAGTATATTTTGATTTTTATCAATTACAAAATTAAAACTTACTAGAAGAATGAAAAAATTTATAAACTCGTATATATTTTAATTATATAATTTAAATAAAACATTTTTAGAAAACATATAACAAAATACACTTGAAAAACTGAGAGCCAATTAAAAAAAGATCACATAGATCAATGATGTGGCAATCTTGCTTGGCTAATCTTGTCTGTTCAAACTTTGGAGACAGCCAAATCTTGTCCGTTCATTGTTTTAGTCTTTTCAGTATCCTTTTTTGGTCAAAAGAAGAACTTACGAGCCTCCACTAGCCCCTTCTCATATCAAGAGACGCTTTCTCTCCCTGTCCAGATCTATCCTCGTCTAATTAGGGTTTCACAAATTGAGTGTTGTTAGTCGAAACTTCTTCTCTTCCCTGTCCAGAACTTTTACCCTCTCGTCCCTCTTCTCCCTCAAATCTTGTCTTCTTCTTTCGTTAACTCGCCGTCAAATGGGTCTCAAATTGATAACGTAATCAAGAGTTAGGATAGATCATTTCTAGTGATCTACTAAATAGATCCTAAGAAAGGTGATATCAGCTCTAGAAGATGGTTAAGATGAAGAAAACCCACCTCGAAGATACTGAATCAATGGAAGATAGCGATGATGATCAGAGAGAAAGTGAGAGAAAGAAGATAAATTGTTCTGGATTATTATTCCCAAAAGGCGTTGTTTTCTTACAAGTATTATTGTTGGTACGTAAACCAACTTAACCAACACTCTGGTTTTGACAAGCAAAACGAATTAAACCAAAAGTACAATACCGATAATAGATAATAAAGAMATCATACCGGATATGCCACATCCTATAACA